AAAAATGAGGAAATTATTATTATTATTAGATAGGTTCCCTTCATAAGTGTTCATTGCCAGGCTTTGCTGGATATATTGATGCCATACTTCCCCATTATTTACCCAGAAACTACCATTTCCTGAGGGGAAAAAAATCAACAATTTAGAAGGTGACAGAATTCAAGATGAAATATTACCAATGAGTTGTAAAACAGTTGGGATACATTTCTGTCTTTTTGTTATACAAAAGTCAAACTTTAATGAAAAAGTACACACTTGTACTCACTGAAAGAAGTCAATTTTATTTCCATAGTTGACACACAAATATATTTTTAAAATTTTTTGCTCACAAGGATCAAATAACCTGAAGAAGTCCTCCTGGTGGCAATGGGTGGGGTAGTTGTTGAGGCTGAGATCATTGTTTCAGTTTTAAGCTTGGCTTGGGGTGTTCATGTGATTCTTAGTTGAAGTCCTCAGATTTCCAGCTCTTTTCTCCCTCAGATGTTCAGCAATTTTACACTTCATGCAAATATGTGCCCAGGAGGGAAGTGGCTCTCTAGTAAATGTTCCTTTACGCTACTGGATTTGGCTTTGGTTCCTGTGGAGTAGTTTTTCCTCAGTTTTGCAAACAGATCAAAGCACTTGAAGCCCGTGCTGCAGGCTTTCATTCCTGTTTGTGATGCCTGCCTGCTTGCCTCTCGTACCCAAAGCACCGCGGAGTCCCTCTGTCACTTGCACCCTCACTCTGTGTTCTTCCCTTGATGGGGTCGCCAGCAGCTACGAGCTAGAAATACAGCTATTGGTGTAGCGCAGTGAAAAACAGGCTTGAATTGAAAATTCAGTCTTTAGTGTTAGCAGGTTTCTGGAGAATCCAAAATTTGGCTTTACATGCTTGATATGATGAGGAATTTCTTTTTTGTAAATTAGATTAAAATTTTTAAAAAAATTATCTGGAAAGCAGAATGACAGCAGAGGAGAGAAGGAGAGAGAAGTCAGAGTGAGGAAGGGAGAGCAGCTTCCATCTGCTGGTTCACTCCTCAAGTGCCTCCAACAGCCAGGGATAAGCCAGACTAAAAATGGTGATGAGGGTGGGGGAAGAATTTCACATGGCTCTGCCACACGGTTGTCAGGGACCCAACAGCACAGTCATCATCTGCTGCCTCCCAAGGTGTGCATTAGCAGGAAGCTGAAAGAGCAGCAGGGGCAAAACGCCATTCCAGGTACTCTGATCCAGGCTTCGTCTTAAGTGGCACTGTAACCTGGTATGTTGCAATGCCTGTCCCATGAGGAGGGATTACTAACTCAGATCAAGGTAAAAATAGGCTGGCCTTTGGGTCTAGGATTTTCCTCTTGGCATGGCTTCAGAAGGACCAGGTAGGTTTCTGTGAATTCCAAAGCTTGCCTTCTGCAGAGGGTTTCTGCTGTTTGCCTGCTCCTCATTCCTTCCTCCTTCCTCTGATCTATGCTCCTATCTTCCCTGTTTCCTGAATGGAACTTCCTCTCTCCCTAGGAAGCAACATTTGGAGTCCTTATTATTAAGTTCCTGCTTGCTTTGTGACCTTGGGCAAGATACTCAACCCATCCAAGTGTCAGATTTCTCATCTGCAAAATAAATGTAATAATGCAGCGCATGGGGTGATGATGAGCTTCAAACGAGGCAATGTCCATAAAGCACTTGGCATAAGGCCTGGCCTCTGGTAAGCACTGACTTCACTGGAGCTCTTATTATACTGAGAATGCTATTACAACCCACAGAGGTGCTGGGCTGCCCACCTGCTGTGCAGCTGCTATTTATCCAGTACAGGGTTCAGAGAAGTCTGTGGCGAAGAGGTCCTATCTTTATAGGAGATTGGCTTCATTGGCTGCAGAAGGCAGGCCTAGCTTGGGCACACAAATCCTATCTCTGACGGGTGGCTTGCAGGTTTCTCTTGGAGAATTTCCCTCTGCAGATGAATGAACTGAGTCCTTACCTTAAAGGTAACAGTCAGGTGAGGACTAAGACTTCAGCTGACTGCTCTGTGCGTTTCTGTTTTCCTCCACTTTTCAATTCTACCCCTTGGGTAATGATCCTCCCTCGACAACAAGTGAGCAGTTTCTACTGTTGCTCCATTGTTCTCCTATTCCTCTCCTCTCCTCTCCTCTCCTCTCCTCTCCTCTCCTCTCCTCTCCTCTCCTCTCCTCTCCTCCCCTCCCCTCCCCTCCCCTCCCCTCCCCTCTTCTCTCCTCTTCCTGTCTTGTCTTTTTTGAGACAGAGAGAGAAGGTACATGCAGATTGGGAGACTTGGAGAGAGGGAGGTGGAGGGAGAGAGAAATTCACTGCTCACTGGTTTACTCTACAAATTTCCACTGCTGCCAGGACTGGACTGGGACAAGGCCAGGCACCCAATCCAAGTCTACATGGGTAGTAGCAGTAACCCGACTACCTGAGCCGTGACCTGCTGCCTCCCAGGGTCCATAGTGGCAGGAAGCTGGAATCAGGAGCAGAGCTAGGACTTATACCTATGTTTTCCAACATGGGAGGTGAATATCCTGACCAGTGTCTTAACCAAGGCCTTCTCCTTTTATGAACATAGGAAAAGGCCTTAGATCTTTTCCTTTCTCTGTCATGTGCAGTTTGTCGAATGAGGGCCTCCTCCCATTTCCTTGTTTCTATGTCAGTCTTCAGAGTGTACATCCTTCCCCCACCCCACTGGGCTGCATCAGCACCACTTGTGAATTTTTAAAATTATGTATATATCTGCTAAGTCAGAAACTCCTAGGTGGGGCCCAGAAATCTGGGGGAAGAGGAGGGTTAAATAAATCTTCCAGGTGCTTCCAATGGTGAGAGCTACTGCTCTGTCTCTATTTTTGCAATTTTTCTACCATACTTTGCCCCGAGAGGGACAGACCGGTCAAAAGCATGCATTGTTCAACACAGCCCTGTCCATGGGCTTCATTAGGCTGAAGGGCATGGTGCTGGGGCTCAAACATCTCACCAACCCTGGACTTGATCCATTATCCTGTCCTAAGTGGCTTCTTGTCTTCCCTTAGCATCCTGGGCACCTGCAATCCTTAGATCACCCAAACCCCATCTCTGTACACCTTGGTCATTTCAGAATGAACCCACCAGTGTTTGCTTGTGTGTGCCCCAGTGACATTCCTGGATTTTTCTGATCAAATTTGTCCAGATTTTCACTATACACTTGGAACGACCATCCCAATCTTCAAAGTGATCCAATTATGGATGCTACCTGCAGCTTTAAAATGCTCTTAACTAGTGCTTCTCTTGAATTCTTTGGTTATGAGGAACTACTTTGGTCAGCTCTAGAAATGTGATTTCTCTTCCTCTTCAGGTGTCTTCAAGCCCTAACCTTCTTCTCAAGTCTCAGCTCTAAACAGAGTGAGACCTGGGTGAAGTTTCCTGGGACCTCATCACTCTAGCCCAGCCTCAAGATCTCATTTGCTTTCCCACAGGTATCTAATATCTCAATCTCTCCCGGAGCAGTGTTCTTCCCTGGCTCCCTGGCTCACCCTTCCTTTGATTGCCTTCTGTTCCTTTCTTGTAGGACAATAACACACGCCTGCCTTCCTAACTCATCATTTTGGAAAACTTCAACCCCTGCCCCCCTCCCAAAAGAGTGGGATAGAGCAGTACAAGAACAACGTTTATACCTTTCTTCTGGATTCACCAGTTGTGGACATTTTGCCACATCTGTTTTATCTTTCTCCTTCCATGGCCATCCCCCCGCCCACCAATACTTCTTTTCTTTTGAGCCGTTTTAAAATAAATTGCAGACACTGTGGCATTTACTCTTAAACATTTCAGCTGATATTTCTAAACAAAGACATTCTCTTACACGAATTACAAAATCATTATCATGTACAGTATACTATATGATTACGTGTTTGTCACCTGATACATATTCCCTAGTCATAACCCTCTGGAAAAATCATTAGTTATGTTATGTTATCACATGTCTTTGGCCTCTTTTTATAGCTTTTCACAATTTAGATTTGTCTCATTGACTTTCTTATGATTGTATCCAGCTTAATCATCTTGGCCAGAACTCTTTCCTCCTTGCTTGCTTCCTTCCTTTGTCTGTTGCCATCCCCCAAACATATCCAAACATTGTTAAAAGCTGTTGAAATTCAGCAATTGAATTCAGGTGCCCACGATGCAGACTATATTAGGAGGATAAATTCCAGGGTACCAGAATCAAAGAGCAGTAAAGAATATCACAATCTGATCAACCATGTCATGTTATGAATGAACCCCTATGACATGAAACAGTCAAAAACTTGTTGCAAGACACAGCTAGTAGTAGTAGTCTAGCTGTTGCTGACACGCCATCTCCTAAACTCTTCTAAAATGTCAGTACGCAATGTCATTCACTTCTCAGGACCCTAGTGAGGCGAGGTAAACATGGGATCTATGGGACAGTTGACATATTTATACAGATGCCAGAGTGTGTTATTCTAAAGCTTTTTCTTTCTTCTACTTTGAAGTCTGGCAAATCCCCCTTGTGACCTCTGAGAGATACTTAACAAGCAGCTAATACCTGTTTTCCACAAGAAAGACAAATTTTATGTAGAGAATGGCCTTCTACTGAGCTCCAGAAACACTTCTAGGCTAAGAGAAGCAGCAGTCCAGCACTTCTGAGCTATTTGTGTCGATGTAAAAGGCAGGTGTCTTTCCACTGACCTGTTTTCAGTGCTATAATCCCATTACCTTGACACTATCCTCTGGAGTTTTGCTTTGTTTGGGAATTTTAAATTCCTTTATTTGTAACAGATCAAAAGCTATCTGGCACACAGAGAGAGCACTTGGATGCAGGCACTTTGATGGATCTTGCAGCTTTCTGAGCAGACATGACTGCATACTTCCCATATAAGCACTTACAGGCTGCCCATTGCCCTCAATTTTAAATAGCAACCCTATTCACAAGCCTTTCAAGTCCTCTTCCTAAGAGATTAACTGGCAGCTTTGTCAATGAATAGAAAGATGCATATCTGAGATGTATTTCTGTAAGACTTACCAGGTTGCCTGGTGTTGTGGCGTGTCATATCATAGCTAACAGTCACTGCAGCTCTGGTTCCTGTACAACTGTCTTGATGGACTGGCAGGTGCAAGAGTCTGGGTGGTGGGTTGTATTCCACACCCTCATCTTCATGGCTGGCTTGACAGGCCAGAGGGTGGAGCAGGGTCAAGGCTCAGAACTGTGGTGGGTGACATGAAGGGTTCGGAGCAAAGCTTGACAAACTACAATTCTTGGACCCAATCTGTTCCCCTTCCATTTTCGTACAGTCCATACTACCAATGGCTTTTCCATTTTTCAGTAGCTGGGAAAAATAGAACAAAGAATATGTCATGATATCCTAAAAGTATATGAAATTCAGGTTTTATTGTCCATAAGCAGACTATTGGTGGAACACATCCACACTTACTGATGTTCTTGCTGTTTATGATGCTTTTTGCATTACGGAGATAGAGTTGAGTAGTTAGTGCAGACACCGTGTGGTCCACACAATCTACAATCAGGACCACTCATTCAGTCATCACATGCCTTTCAGATACCATGCGCGTGGCAGAAAATTCATTAAGCACTGGAGATTGAAAGATATAAAAAAAATCCTAACCTCTTCTCACAGGAAGTTCCATCTGTCAGATGAAACAGGTAAACAGAAGATGAGAAGTGAGAAAAGTGCCACAGGGACATGGGAAATCCACCCTGAGGGTGGGGTGGAGGCCCAGGCTTGACAGACAAGATCTGACATCAGTCAGGACAAGATGGGAGCTTTGCCCACACAGTCACCACTGTAACCTTTGTGGCATTTCTTATCCTGGCTCATGTGGTTGCTTTCATAGCACAGATATCATTATATATTCTGTTGCTTTGTTACCTGCTCTAAGTGGGAGGCAGTGAAGACCTAGCATGAAAAGTCAGGGTTGGGATTAAACTGTCTGGAAACCACTTCACCTGTCTCTCACAATTTCTTCTACAAAATGAGGATGTAAGGGAAACCTGCCTGGAAGGTTCAGTGAGAGGAAGCATTTACCATGCTTACCCACAAGAGCTGAGGGCTGATACATCAGAGCTCTGTAGACAGAGGTCAACTTGTAGCCCCTCCTCTACTATAACCCATGGCCTACCCCTCTGTGCCGTGAAGGACTGTCCCAAGGAGATGGGAAGTAGGTGAAATGAAAGAAGCAGGAAGAAACATATCAGTAGAGGATATATCAGGAAATAGAAACAACCTATGCAAGAGCACTGGGGCACCAAATTAAGAGACACTCAACAAAACTGAGCAGATTTAGTTACTCATATGCTATGTCATCACCAAGATATCTGGGCTTGCTTATAAAGAGAAACATGCATGAAAATTAAAATCTTGAAAAAAGCATGAAATAAAGATAAAATGGTATACTGGATCTGGGATTAAGAATGATAGAAGCAAGGGCCCAGCACGGTAGCTCAATGGCTAAAGTCCTTGCCTTGCATGCACTGGGATCCCATATGGGCACCAATTCTAACCCTGGCTGCCCTGCTTCCCATCCAGCTCCCTGCTTGTGGCCTGGGAAAGCAGTCAAGAATGACCCAAAGCTTTGGGACTCTGCACCCATGTGGGAGACCCGGAGGAGGTTCCTGGCTCCTGGCTTTGGATCGGTGCAGCTCTGGCCATTGTGGCTGCTTGGGGGAGTGAATCATGAGATGGAAGATCTTCCTCTCTGTATATCTGACTTTGCAATAAAAACAAATAAATCTTTTTAAAAAATGATAAAAGTGTTGTATTCCTGTTTGTAGCAGCAGAGTTTGAGAGATAACAGATACTCAGTAACTTTTCTTGAATGAAAAGGTAGAATGGGGTTTTAGGTGATGGAAAGAGTTTGATAGAATAAGAACCTGGAAGAACATGGGGAAAGCTGTTGGAATGTGAGGTCTGAACTCTGGCGTTGGTAAATTTGTGCCATGGTAAGTTAAAAAATCTGAACACAGATTAAAACCAGTGGTTTTAAAAAGCATTGTGGAAAACAAATAGGAAAGGGAATTCCTGGCATTTAGGAGAATCAGGTAAGAAGTTAAAGAACTAGCCCAAATGAGGAGCAATAAAAGTATATGAGAGTGTTGAATATACCTTTAATAAAAAGTTCATAGTAGGGCTGGCACAATGGTTCAGCAGGCTAATCCTCTGCCTGGTTGCACTGGCATCCCAGGGTGCTGGTTCATGTCCCAGCAGCTCTTATGGCCTAGGAAAACAGCACAGGATGGGTCAAGGCCTTTGGAGGGAATTCCTGGTTTGGGATCAAGTCAGCTCTGGTCATTATTATGGCCATTTGGGGAATGAATCAGCAGAAGGAAGATCTCTGCCTCTCCTACATTGTAACCTTGACTTTCAAGTAAACATAATAATAAAAAAAGTATTTTTAAGAGTTTATGGAAAATGAAATGAAGAGGTGATTTTGGTTCAACCTTGAAATCTGTGTAATTTTTGTTGTTCATAATGTGCATTTTCCTCGAGCATTTGGAAAATCCTCTCCCAGCAACAGGAAGTGAGTTTGGACCTGGGAGCTATTTTTCTGCTGCAGAAACAATTTATTTTTATGGGGGAAAGTGACCTAAGCAGTTCGGTTGGATCTGTAAGGCTGTAGGATTTGGACTGAGGCTCAGGAACGATTAGAGTTACTACACACTGGCGAGCTGTGAAACTCAAATAACGGGGGAGTGTCCTGGGAGAGCTTGTGCTGAGAAAAGATGCCAAGGCCAGAACCTTAGGAATGCTGCGTTTAAGGAGCCTATCAATGAACAGAAATCCATGCACATGGAGTCAGGATTGGAGAGAACTGAGGAAGCCCAAAAGCTAAGGAAGAAGTTTTCAGGAGGAATGGAGCAGGCGTAGGTGGGTAGCTAAACAGCATGTGATTGTAGAAGAAAATATTACCCCAGGACAGGAAAGGCAGGGCTGAGTTTGTGGCGTGCGAGTGGCAGAATGGGAGATGTGCATCATGAACTAGAACGTAACCCACACAAATCCTGGACTCACAGCCTTCCCTCTAGGACCTTCTCAGCATCTTTGCTGGTTTGCTTCTCTCGGGCCCAACTAACACGGAATTAATTCCTACTAACCCTAACCCAAGGCCAGCTCCTTCCAATGTGAGCAATTCCATCGCATTTTCAACCAGCAACATTTGCGCCACCAAAATAAAGTCAGAGGAAACAGATACTGCGGCTGCTGTGTGTGTGTTTAGAGTTCACCGTCATTCTGGCAGTACAGAAGGCACCATATGCTAGGCACTTTCACACCAGAAAATCCCAGAGGCCCCCTTTTTTATTGGTTGGAACAGCAAGAAATAAAGACTAAGATAAATTTAATATTTAACTCTCAATCTTTAGTCTCCCTCATTAAGCTGACTTGCCTGCAGCCATGTTGCTATAAATTAAACAGTCCAAGCTGATATGTTGCCAAAACGCACAGCCAGCAAAATGTTAACAGTTTTTGTTCTTGCGCCCGATCAAGTTAAACACACAAAAAAGTCATCTGTTTTCCCTCCAAAGAGGTCATTAGAAAGGATGGGTTCAAAACACAGAAATCTCGGCAACTTCCCTTGGCAGTTGGATATCAAAAACCTGCTCGTTCTCTGGCTCCAAGCTGGTATTTGTAGAAGCAGCTCATGGAGCTAACCACGGAAACTGCTTCTTCAGTTGGGGGCCTCAGTACCGTGGAATTTCAGGGAAGCTGAGGGAGGCGTCTCAATCAAAACATTATTAATGCCCAAGGAACTGGGGAAAATTCCCTCTGCCCAACGGAGGGCTACAGAGTTACTCATACTTTTGAGTGGGATGCTGCTGGGAGCATCTAGATTTCTCAGATTCAGAGCGTCATTGTGGCAGCCATGCGCACAAAAGGCTCCAAGCTGCCCTGAAGTGAAAATGGGGTTTGATTTTCACATTGAGCTCATCTGATTGGAGAGTTAGCTGCCATGTCCCTCCATGCCAGAGAGAGCAAAGAGTTCAGAAAAAGTGATGGCTGCCCAACAGCAGTGGAGGGGTCCCGGCCATCTCTGCTTCTGCTCTCCCTGGTCAGAGTAGTTGCGGTAGCAGAGACTACCACATTCCTGCATCTATTGGCCTCACCTGACACGGTCGGCAGCTGTCAGTGAGACCTGCTCTTAAACTGGGACTTACCTACGTGGCTGCAAATCTGAATCACTTGTGGAGTTCTGAAAGCCCTTGGGACTCCCGCCACAGCCCAGGTCATTAACGCCGCTGTCTCTATTCAGCACTGTTGTTCTTAATGCTTCCCCAAGGACTCCTCTGGTGGTCAAGGCTGGGACTTCCCAGAGGATCCACTATCAGGATTGTAAGCACTGCAGAGGTTCCTTCAAGTTCTCTGCAATTGAAGCTGGAAACAAGTATCTTTGCTGTTATTATTGTTGTTGTCATTGTTATTGGAAAGGCTGATTTACAGAGAGGAAAGACAGAAAGATCTTCCACCTACTGGTTCACTCCCCAAAGGGCCACCACAGTCAGAGCTGATCTGATTCAAAGTCAGGAGGCAGGAGTTTCTGCATCTCCCACATGGGTATAGAGTCCCAAGGCTTTGGGCCAGTCTCTGCTCCTTTTCCAGGCCGCAACCAGGAAGCTGAATGGGAAGAGAAGCAGCTGGGACATGAAGCAGGGCCCATATGGGATGCTAGTAAATGAAGTTGGAGAATTAGTCTGTTAGTCATTGTGTTGACTGCTGGAAACCTGTATCTTGAACCAGGGATCCCTCTAGCGTGATGACAGAGCCCAGATTAAGAATGCCAGGTCTCCAACTAATACGTTATTTCCAACCCCACCCACACTGCCTGAAACAGAAATGGGGCTCCACCTATCTTCACAAGGTCCTCAAGTGACTCTCATTCTTGCTGAAGTTTGAGACCCACTGCCAGAAACCTCCTCTGCCTTGCATGAAGACTATATAGTGATTGGTAGCTGCAAAGTGATTGGTGGCTTTTACCCAAGGAAAATGGAGTTACACTCCTGTGAAAGTGCAGGTACCATGACAAACTCTCCAAGCTGCATTGCAAGATGCAGATGCAGGATGCAGAACAGCTGGCGTAGCTGCATTTACTGATTTCTAAAGATTTGTCTTTGAAAGAGTTATAGAAAAGACAGAAGATGTTCCACTTGCTGGCTTACTCCTCAAGACTGCAACAGCCAAGGCTGGGCAAGGCTAAAGCAGGATCCTGGAGCTCCATCTAAGTCTCCTGCATGGCGCTGGGGCCCAAGCACTTGGGCAATCTTCCACAGCTTTTCCCAGGCCATTGGCAGGCAGCTGGATGGGAAGTGGGGCAGCTG